TGACGAGTACGCCTACTCTCTTTAGGTGATGCTTGTTTTGGTTACTCATACTTATTTTGGCCCATCTTATCAGTTATAAATGTAGTAAATCAGTATTATTTGGGTAGCCGAATTAATATGCAATGGACTGAGTAGGTTCACTAATGGAAGGGTCTTATAGAAAAATTCCAGAGTGCAAGTTTATGTTCAGCTAATCCAGATAATTGTGGAAGAAATATAAAATGAATAGTTAGTAGTTACCCAATCTGAGTCTAGAGCGAAAGAGGGTCGTTATATTAATGCACGTAAAAGTTTCTAAAACACTTTAAAGCAGTACAGCAACAGACAAAGGCACCTTGGCAATATATTTTTTGTCATCTCCCCTTCTCTTTACTTTGACCTGTGTTGCAAAACAAACTTAGTTTGCGTCAATGGCATAAGTAAACTGTTATTGTAAATTCAGAGGTACAGAAATATTGCTAGAAATTTTGAGGTACTCCATCTGATATCGAGTAATCTAGTGAATAATGATTCAAAACTTGAACCAAATTAAATCAACAGGTGGTTCAATTAGGACTGTGCAATTTCAAAGCATAACAAGATGCAATTCCTGTATTATTTGGAACCTTGATAGTTTGTATTAAAGATTCTATTTACATCCATAGTATGTGATTATGTGAGTATTACTCCCAGCAAAGATAACCTGGTTTCCAGAGTCTGCACGATTTACAAGTTAGCACTAGTTGTATTCTGCCTAAAATTAACAATATGAAGCAAAATGTTGATTCGTATGGACGCACATACAGAATGTGGATCTGAAATACCACTGCAAAATAGGAAAATGAAATTGATAGACATAAGTAGGCACCTGGGTGTCATGCTCAACACAATGTGCATTTGTCAATAGTTTGCCATCACCAATCATAAAGGCACTGTGAAACAAATGTCAAGTAAGATAAGCTCAGGGGTTCTGATTTATAAATTGTTGATTATATTGTGTTGAAATAGACAACCCCATCTAAAATATGAGCATTTGAGCACAGAGGTCACGATGATACAGAAACATTTTAGAATAAACACAGCATTTATCTACAAGTTCATTTTTGGAGTAGCTGAGTTGTTCAATCAGTGAAAAACATAACTGCAGAAAAAAGGTCAGTAAAACTCCCCTTCAACATCACAAAACCACTAATCGAAGTATAATTAGTTCATTATCTATGCCCACTGTTTCTCACCCACTCACGGAACACAAAGGCAGACAGAAGTCACTGGCTCAGTGCTGTATGGCAAAAGTAAACAAAAGAGTCCAACAAAAAACTTATTCAGATATGCATATTAGATCAATACTTGCCTCCCTGTGCTTGCATGTTGCCTTTGCTTCTGCCAAGGAAGCCCATAATCAGGTGCAATATGAGTGCAATAGACCTAACAGTAAAGAAGGCAGTTAAGCACAAAGAAGACAATAGGACATGACTAACTTCAGAAATACAGCACAACAACAGGTAAAGGTAACTAAAGAAATATTTATAACTGATAAGATGGGCCAAAATAAGTATGAGTAACCAAAACAAGCATCACCTACAGAGAGTAGGCGTACTCGTTAAACACACCTTAACTACAGCATTAAGGAATTTGTCCTCTTCAAGGTCCTCGAAATCTGAGACCTGATACAGTAAAATAATTAGATGAAGATCATGTGACTTTTATGGCTTGATTGCAGCACTGAATCAAATTGTTCATAAATTGCAGTTGTTTCTCAGAGAAACAGAACATAAATGGCTTGGAAGATACAGGTATGTTGATTAGAGATCATAGTTGATATGTTCATGCAGTAGATAATGAGACCACACTACGGAGATGCCAATGATTTATCAAAGCCGCGAAATAATAAAATGAGAACTGAGAAATAATAATATGTACAGCAATGATTGAAGTATGAGCAAAAAATATTGCCGAGGTGGTGAATTTCCATAGCAAAACAAAACTAAATACAGCCTGCAGCAACCTGAAATGTAGAAAGTGATGATTGCAAATTTTGACACTAAACAAGCATATATGCCCCTAAAACACATTACTCGTGATGCTCATGCAGAGGAGTGGAGGACAATGTAGAGCACCAAAACGTAGAGTCATCGTCCTAAATCCTAATTCGAACTCTCGTCGTCTAAATATGCGTTACACAATTTGCAAAGCCGAGCAAACACAATTCACGAGCAGAACATCTCGGAATCCTCCTCGTACCTGCGACTCCTTGAAGTCAACGGCGAGCCCTCTGTCCTTACGCGACGACGACGACGACGCCTGCGAGCCCCCTCCGCCGCCGCCGCCAATGCCCCGCCGCCTCTTCGACACCCCCTCCACCTGAAAACCCAAACACGTCAAGCCTCCGCGCTTCCCTCGGGCCATTGCCGGCCACACGCAACAGAGAGGGATAGACACGTACCTCGTCGAAGCGCCGGGTCACGCGGCGGCCGGGAGGCTGGTGGCGCGGGGCGCGGGCGACGGCGGGGCGGAAGCGGCAGGAGCAGGAGGAGACGGAGGAGGTGGATGGGAAGGGGAAGGCCGGGGAGGCGAAGAGGGCGGCGACGCCCGCCATTGCTGCGGCTGCTGCTTCGCGGCGCGCGAGTTTGATTCGGGTTTCCCTCCCTCCCCGAGGCGGAGCTCCTTATCCTCTTTCTGATTGGGGGGAGAGAGTTGGGAGAGTGAAGACGATGAGCACGTGCCGGGCGCGTGAGATAAATATCTCAATAAGTCTATTCTTATGGAGTTATGGGTACTTACGTGTGTGTGTGTTTTTTTTAGAAAATGTTGGGGAAATATGGGTATGTGTGTAAAAATATTCAAGAACAAACTTGATTATATTACATTTTTTCAAAAAAAAAACAGTTTTGACATTAAAAAACAACAATGGGCATTGTGCTTTATGGTAACAAGTTTACTTGTACGGGCTTTGTGATGGTGGTTATGTTGAACGTAGTTGTGGTTAAATACAAATTTGACCATAGCTCAACTCCAATAAATTATTACTTGCGTGTCCTTTTTTTTGTTGTGCAAACAATATAGTGTACTCTCTTTTCTGTTTGTTAGGATGTTGTCTCAGGTTAAGGTATGTAGTGTTGATTTATCGGATTAAGGAAGAGATATTTAAGGTATGTAGTATTGTCTTAAACTATATTACTGGTAAGACTCGTGTGTTTATATTTTACATCCTTTTGGACGACTTTTCCGTGCTTGCCCAGCACCTTTTGTTCTATGGACCAGGACCAATTTCAACTCGGACTACAAAAATGCCAAGAAAAACTTACAGTAGAAGGAATGAAGAGTGTATAGCAATATTGCTAGGGTCGTCAAAAATGCCGAAAATAAGATTATAGAATGATGGGTCAATATCCTTGCAACGAAACAAACTGACCATTGGCTTGGGTAGTATAGCTCAAAGACTGAGAAACGTTCCAAGATCTTCCAGCTAGCTCCACAAGGTGGTGGGCACGACTTGGGTTTGAAGCCTCGCCCCTCCTAATTATTTGATATTAGGTCTTTCTCTAATATCTGTGTTTTTTTTAGCTTACGGACTATCTAATAACATACATCAGAGTTTCAGTGTTGAGGCAAATATTGAAGTGCCAAACAAGAGACACAAAATTTGGGTTACATTTTTCCACAACCTTTTTGAACTTGTTTGTATATCAAGAGACGTAAGTGTCACTGGCTGTAATAAGTGGCAAGCTTCTTCAATGTACTACCTCCGTCTCAAAATAAGTGCAGCCGTGGATATCCGTGCCCAACGTTTGACCGTCCGTCTTATTTGAAAATTTTGTGAAAAATTTAAAAATATTTAGTTACACATAAAGTATTATTCATGTTTTATCATCTAATGGCAATAAAAATACTAATCATAAAAAAATTTAAATAAGACAAACGATCAAACGTTGAATGTGAATAGTGCAAAACTGCACTTATTTTGGGACGGAGGGAGTACATGTTTGTCTTCATCTTTCTAATTATATATTCATAAAAAACAATTAAAAAATAACCAAATGTATTTTTTATGGCAAATCTAATACTACTTCCATCTTAAATTGTACTTGTTATGGCGCATAGTTGAAAATATCAACTCTATATTTTAGAGCCAAGGCTGTATAATATTTTTATATGGCATTAAATCAAATATCATTTTTTTACCTCTTTAAGCTAACATTATATTATACATTCAACGGTTTAATTTTAATGGTTCTACTGTATTGCTGGACATCATTTATTTAAGAATTAAATGAGAAATTCCAAGGACAAACAATTTTGGGTGGTACTAAGGCTATGTTTGAAAGCTTGTTTAGCTTTTGCTTTTTCCCACATGCGAAACCAAGACACCATTAGCGTACGATTGATTATTAACTGTTACAAACTTATAAAATGGTTTTATTGACTTTTTAGATAAACTTTTATATATGTTTTTAGAAAACACACTGTTTATCAGTTTGAGAAGCGTGTTCACTATAGAAGGGACTTGCAAAAGCGAATCAAAGAAACTAAAGCACCATAAATCACAAATTTACATCCTGAAGAACTCTAAACCCAATATAGGAGATACATAGCCTCATCGGTTGCCCATATTCTCTAATAAGCCGTTTTGGCTTATAATTCATAGGAAAATTTTTTATACATTTGTTCATAACAACTGAAAAGCCAATGCTAAAAAAAATTACCTTGAAAATGTCTTGAAATCAACTTGAAAATCAAGTTAAAAATTTAAATTTTGGTTTTTTGCTTTAGCTTATTAGGCCAACCGATGGGCTCACAAACCCTACAACAGCTACTCCATTCAGCCCAGGGAAACAAAGGCCTTGTTTCGATAGGCCCAAATCCCGGCCCATCCAAACGGGGCCCCTAGGCCCATCTCCGCGCCCGTCGACACCTCTCCCGAACTTCACCAACACCACTCCTCCCCCCCTCCGAACACAAAAACCCTACCACCGCCACTTCCCCTCCCAACTCCCCTCCCCTCCCCTTCCGCCCGCATCGCCGCCGCGCCGCGCCGCGTGCGAATCTCCGGCGAGGATCGAGGGCGCCTCTGGTCCCGTCTGGTGGTCGGTCAGCCATGTCGCTCCGCGTGCTGAACCCGAACGCGGAGGTGCTCAACAAGTCGGCGGCGCTGCACATGAACATCAACGCCGCCAAGGGCCTCCAGGACGTGCTCAAGACCAACCTTGGCCCCAAGGGCACCATCAAGATGTATGGCCTTCCTTCTCTCTCTCTCTCTCTCTCTCTCTCTCTCTCCCATCTCGTTGGGCGCTCCTGTGCTAGCTGGTTTGATCTGGTTCGATGCGGGGGGAGGTGTTGCATCGGCTAGATCACACACGCGCGCGCTTGCGCGTAGCTGTAGTAGATTCGCGAGGCGTAGGCTTTCTCTGATTTTTTTTGTTGTGTGTGCTGGGCTGTGGATGCGGTTTCTGTGGTTTGCAGATGCGTTATTTCTAGATTTGCGCGGCGAGGTGCCGCACACTGTTTGATCCAGTTCGTAGGTTCGGAATGGCGGATGTTTGGAAGGGTTTGGTAATGAGGTAGCTGGCTAGCTGCTAAGATTTGCAATGGCGGTGTTCTTTTTTTTTTTTTTGGAATAGCGATTTCTAGATGTCTAGGTAGAGGTACGATGTGTTGTAATGGCTGTGATCCAGCGAAATTTGCTCTACCTGAATGCGTTCGCTATTTTGCTGCACAGGCTTGTGGGTGGAGCTGGCGACATCAAGCTGACCAAGGATGGGAACACTCTCTTGAAGGAAATGGTATAGTTACGCTTGGCAATTAGTGTTTGTGGCGAGGGCATTTTAGTGTTGGAAGTGATCTGATCTTTGGTTTGTGGCTTCTTGCGTCTCGATTTACAGCAAATCCAGAACCCAACAGCTATCATGATCGCAAGGACCGCGGTTGCACAGGACGATACCAGCGGTGATGGCACAACCTCCACTGTGCTTTTTATTGGGGAGCTTATGAAGCAATCTGAGCGGTGCATTGATGAAGGTATGTTCATTTGAACCTATACCTTTTTCTATAGTTCAATATGACTGGATTTATAATATATCGATTACATCTGAAATATCACTTGCGCGTCTAGGAGAATTGTAAAAGCTTATACAAAGGAAGGTGAAGGATAGAGTAAAACTAGATTCTTTGATTATGTGTTATGCTCTCCCTTCTGTTAAACATGTGTAATGTGGAGATATTACGATGAGAAGTTGTAGCATGGCTCATTGTGTTTTCTAGTTACCTTGTCATGCATTTCTAGGCTAGTTTGGATCCTCACTGCACAAATTTAATCTTGAAAAATAAGGATATGCAGACCTTCTGTGCTAAGGTCACAGCACAAAATTGTCTTCAAGTCGTAAATTTGTGTAGGCAAAACCTTATCTTTATACGATAACTTGCTACTTACTATAAACTCAATAGTAACTGATTGTCATTCTTGTAGGCACTCATCCACGTTTTTTGGTTGATGGTTTTGATGTTGCCAAGAGAGCAACTCTTGAATTTCTCGAGAAGTTCAAGACATCAGTTGTCATGGGCGATGAACCTGACAGAGAGATCTTGAAAATGATAGCAAGAACTACTCTAAGGACAAAGGTAGGCGCAGTTTGTTTTCTTGCTTTCAAGCTTTCTTTACTTGGGCAGGTAACGTATAGACTATATAATATTTCAACATTTATAAAATCGACTATTTTGCAGCTGTACGAAGGATTGGCTGATCAGTTGACTGATATTGTTGTGAATGCGGTAATATTTTCTTTCTGATATTTGTTTTTCTTGGGAAGGTTCAAGTTTACTCATTGTATGAACATATTTGAATTTTCATTAAAATCTATGTTTTAGGTTCTATGCATCCGCAAACCTGATGAACCAATCGATCTTTTTATGGTTGAGATAATGCACATGCGCCACAAATTTGATGTTGACACACGTCTGGTATGTATTCATTTTTCTTTATTTCTCAAGATAGACTTATTCTGATCTTCATATTCCCTTTAGAAGAACAAGTTATTTTACCCAGCTAAGCTTTTGAACTGAGCAGCTTGCCTATCCATTCTTTATGCTAATACTAATCTCTGTATGATTCAGCAGACTAAAATGAATATGTTGATTTACATACTATACAGAATTCGTAATGGATACAATGTGACAATGCTTACCCCACTGCTTTGATATTGTTATTATAGGTTGAGGGTCTGGTCTTGGACCATGGTTCTCGGCACCCTGATATGAAACGCAGGGCAGAGAACTGTTATATCTTGACCTGCAATGTCTCACTGGAATATGAGAAAAGGTACACGACTTTTACAAATATGTACTTTGTTATGTTGGTTAACACATTCTTATTTGCCCTTTTGTGTTGATTTCATCTGCTCATGCCTCTAAGAAAACACGACTTTTTATAGGCTGTTAAAGTAACGTACTTAAAGCAAGCCATATTTGCTCTTCATGTATGCTACCTTGTCTGCCGTTAAGACCGGTTGCACACACTTGTACTTAGCTTAGTTCCTTTACTTGAAACTATTCCTATATTTGCCATGCATCATTGAAGGGAAACTGTTAACTGATATATACTCTTCTCAGTGAAATAAATGCAGGATTTTTCTACTCGAATGCAGAACAAAGAGAAAAGATGGTTGCTGCAGAAAGGCGCCAAGTTGATGAGCGTGTGAAGAGGATTATTGAATTGAAAAATAAGGTAGTTCACTTATTTCACCTGCAGTGCCTTTTTTCTGTACACTTCCAGAAAATCCTTCATATTGTTTCATGAATTTCAGGTTTGTGCTGGAAATGATAAAAATTTTGTGGTGATCAATCAGAAGGGTATTGACCCTCCATCCCTCGATCTCCTAGCTAGAGCAGGGGTAATGTTCTCTGATGGATCTGAACTACATACTTTCAAGCTTCAACCATTTAGATTCCTGCGTTTGTTTAGGATGTTTCTGAATGGAAGCATCATAACAGCTAATATTTGTTGTTAAATCTGTTCTTTCAATTTTTATTATTGGAGCTTATTCTTCAAGATGCTTTTTTACATGCTACAGATTATTGGTCTCCGAAGAGCAAAGAGGAGAAACATGGAGAGGCTTGTGTTAGCATGTGGGGGTGAAGCTGTTGATTCAGTTGATGATTTGACTGAAGATTGTCTTGGCTGGGCTGGGCTTGTCTATGAGCATACTCTTGGTGAAGAAAAGTACACCTTTATTGAGAATGTGAAAAATCCTCGCTCTTGCACTATACTGATTAAAGGTTGATTACTCTTGAACTATAATAATGATCTTTTTCCAATATTCTGGTTTGGTGGTGAACTTACTGTAAAGTCAATATCTCCAGGGCCTAATGATCACACCATTGCGCAAATTAAGGATGCTGTTCGCGATGGTCTAAGATCTGTTAAGAATACGGTTGAGGATGAAGCAGTTGTGCTGGTAAGCTAGAGATGGACAGAACTTCACGATCCACCTTGTGCACATTAAGTTTGGCTACATCTCTTGGTTATTTTAGATTCCATTATTTTAGTATACTTTACCAGCTTCTGATGCATAGGCCAAACAGCTATAATTACATTTTTAGCACATCTTTTGTTCATATAAGTTGCAGAGTTGCCATTAGATGCATGTGTATTCCAAAGGTTGCTTATAAAATCATTTTTATTATCTTTTATTTTTGAAATGAAACCATGTTTATTATCTTCAGACTGCTTGATTCTTACATTGTCATTTGTCAACTGTAGGGAGCAGGAGCATTTGAGGTTGCTGCGAAGAAGCATCTTATTGACAACGTGAAGAAAACTGTCAAAGGAGTAAGTGTACTGCAATGTCAATATGCTTTAACTTCAATGTAGCAAAACATTGATATTCTCTCGACTTCTGAACCTTGGCAACAGCGAGCACAACTTGGGGTGGAGGCATTTGCTGATGCTCTTCTTGTCATACCCAAAACACTAGCAGAAAATTCAGGTCTAGATACCCAAGATGTTATTGTCTCTCTCCAGGTATGAACACATTTTCAGTGCTGCACCTCATCCTTAAATTGGAGGTCAGTAATTTTAACTGTTTCTGTGCTTTCTGAAGAATGAACATGATCGTGGATTGGTGGTGGGATTGAACCATCACTCTGGCGAACCAATTGATCCCCAAATGGAGGGCATCTTCGACAATTACTCCGTGAAACGCCAGATCATCAATTCCGGGTATGTAATTAAGTTATTCTTGCCTTATTTGCCCAACAACATCCTAAATCCTAACTGGTTTTTCTTTGGTGCAGACCCATCATCGCGTCACAGTTATTGCTTGTGGATGAAGTGATCAGGGCTGGCCGCAACATGAGGAAACCAACCTAATACTTTCCCTACCTGCCGCTGAGTCCTCTGTTTTGTGGGAGATATTACGCATTTTGTTTGGTTATTTTGCCTTTCTATCTTTAGTTTGTGCGTAGTAGTGAGGTGGGTGAAATGTCCGGAGGTTCTGCTAGTTTGTTCCTCTTTGACTGTAACAGATTTCACTTGTAATCTTTGTCACACTGTCATTTATGCCGTCCTGATGATTTGGGAATCAGTATGTGCTTATGCTTTCATGTCATTTGTTCTCACGTTGAACTAAGCGGAATGCACCAAATTTTGTTTGGTGAGTTGTCGATTACCCATTTGCTTTGGCTATATATAAAAAGAGGCTAATGCGTGCTGATACATGCAGCAGAAAAGAGAGGTTCAATAGCTTCTTGATTAATGAACACAGCCGCAATCGTATCATGTCAATGTTTAATCATGAAGCAGCTTATTGTAATCAGATAGTTGCAATATTTATGCGTGTCAAATTGCGAAGAGTATATATATCCAAGCGGCAACATGAGCTAGCTGACCAGCTCCAGCTCCAGGCTGTGTGCCTTTGCATCAGATTCTACCTCACCTATTGCCTTAGCCTGACAGAGATTGCCCAAACCAGACAGATTCCTCCACTTTTTATTGCATGATTGCATCAGGAAACGTCCCATCTAGCTCTCTCGAGCTGCACAGCAATTTGCACAACAATATTGCTTACCACTTCATCTCCCAGCTGCAGGTGAAATTTATCGTAGAAATTCTGAATACTTTGTTTCATTTTGTTCATTTTTCTATGTTTACATGTCCATTTCAGTTGCCAAATTCGCTCTGATCTTGCAGAATTTCATAGCAGAGATGGGATGTGTAGAATCCAAGCTGGTTGCTACTATCAAGTACAGGAGAGTGGAGAAGGATCTTGACAAGAAGGTGGCTGAGGCGCTCAAGGAGAGGACCAAGTCGAAGAAGAAGACCTTCAGGTCAGTGAACAGCATCACCATGGGTCTCCCTCGCTTCAAGGAGGGCCTCAGGAACATCAGGGATGTCTTCGACCAATATGGTAATGTGTCGGGTCGTAACCGAACTTATGTGATAGCTCAACTGATGAGCCCGTTTGATTTAGATTATTGAGTGGATTGTTGCAACAGATCATCTTAAATTGAATATTTTGAGAAATGAACTTAACAAATAGCTTTAAAGAAGTGGTCTGATCAATACGGTAGAAGAAATATTATAAGAAACATATTTTCAAATAGTGGAGTAACTAATCCTATCTAATAATCCGAAAAGAATAGTAGGCTCTTGTTCTGTTTCGCAACTCGGCTTCTGGGTTCACCTTTGCAGTGGCTGAAACTGCAGATGAGGACTCAAATGGGACAATTGACAATGAGGAGCTGAGGAACTGCCTGAACAAGCTTCAGGTCCAGATGTCAGAGGAGGAGATCGACAATATTCATCGCTACTGCGACATCGACAACAGGAAGGGGATCCAGTTCCCGGAGTTCGTCGTCTTCCTCTGCCTCATGTACCTTCTTTTTGGTTCAGATGTCACATACCGTGTAAGTATTTTCTTGATCATTTTGCTCTTATAGGTAAATTCAACTCATAGAGTGATCATTTGTTGTGTGTTGCTGAAGCCAGATCATAGATTTTTTGTTTCTGAAATGTTTGGAGTCAGGTTTCAGAGTTTGAATCCGCCAGGCTCAACTATGTTTTCGATGAGCTCATCGACGCCTTCCTGTTCTTCGACAAGGATGGAAATGGCAAGATGAAGAGGAAAGATGTAACCCAGAGGATGAATGAGGCTACTCATCAGGAGAGGACCCCCAGCCACATAACGTCACAGCTATTCAGTAGAACTCCTGCCTCTCCTTTTCCTGTCACACCATTAATTTAATTTGGTGTCATGCCATTGTTAGTGTTCAGGTTTGAGTGAATTTTTTGTTTGTTTCTTGCAGAAGAGATGGACCTGAACAGGAATGGCCATGTGAACCTGAAGGAGTTTCTCTTATCAATTATCAGATGGGCAGGAGTTGAGACTGATGATGATGAAGCAAGAAATGAGACTTCTCCATAGTCTTCTTTTATTTTCACATTTGTCAAATGTACAGCAGAAGATCAAATTGCAAGTTCAGAGTGCACTTACTATTCAGTCACATTGCTTCTGTGGCCAAGTATTGTTGACTCAATGTTCAGATTGCATGGAACTAAATTATGTATACAAACAAGATGTAAAGGGTATTGTATAAGAAACTGTACTCTAAATTGACATGTGTGTTCATTCTCCCAGAAATTTTGATTTAACATTCAAGCCCCATCAAGGTCTCTCAGGACAAGCTTTCTAATTGCGAATGCATCAGTGTCACACATGAAGATTCTCTCAAATTCCTCATGTGGGTAACTTAGAAAAAAATCCTCTGATTTCTCAGAGCACAATAATGAACCTACAACCTAGAGCTGTGTCACATGATTGCTAGTTGTATAGGTAAACTGGAGGGACACAGAGTCAAAAATGGGTACAGGGAGGTAACACCTTGAAATGTCAGACAAATTACATCAAAACTCCAGCAGTATTATCAAGCGCTTTCTTTGCGATCTTGAATTTGCTAGCCAAGTCCTTACCGGTGTCCTTAGCAATAACATGCTGCTTGATGAATAGCACGAGGCCATCTCTCAAAATTTCAAGCTCTGGAAGTCCAGCAATGCGTGTAAAGACGTTCCACACCACCGCATCATCCTTTTGTAGTAAGGTCTCAAACAGCATTCGGAAATGAATGGTCCTTTTTGGAATCACCTCCACTGCCAGGTTTTTGACAACCTTCAGGGTTGCAAGTGAGAGTGTAAAATTTGCCAGCATCTCCGCAACTAGTTTTGCAAGATTCATGGATCGATTCAACTCCATATTATCTAACTCCTTAAAATGATCCCAGATGCAGTACTGCAACAGCGGCAGAACAAACCAGAGAAGACATAGTTAGAAGAATAATGTTAACTTCTGCCATCACCCATTAAAAGGAAGTACGCAAGTGGCCAGCATATTACAACTATCATCACTAGAGAGAATGGCATCACAAACAGAACACAATAGTAGAAAAATGCAAGTTAACAGGCCATCAGTTTATTATAATGTATACGTGTAACATGTTTCATCCTATTAAGTCAATCAAGAAAAATAAATCTACTAGCAACATCAGCAAAGCAGCAATCCACTAATTTGTTAGACAGGACAGTTGTTGAGCAGATAACAAAGATGACAAATGCAATACCTGTAAGCTGAACTTGTGATTTTTATCATGGCTGCATAGCTTCGAAGCGAGGACTGCGTAATACTTATTGAACATCTTTTCTTGCAGACAACAGTCCACAATGACCCTTATGATTTCCCGATCCTTCATGCAAATAGAGGAAATGGCATAGGTAATACTGAGAGAGACACGAGCAAAACAATGGAACTTACAGAAGATAGCACACCTGCTTCCCGGAAAGGTCCAACCTCAAGAGCTTCTCAAAAGCATCTACATAGTCCTCAGCACTCATTATAATGCAGAAGATTGCTCTTCGTATGTCAGTGTTCATCCGCTGAGCAGCTGCAAGCTGAACAAGTTTTTGTGCTTCAACAACCTCCTTGCTTATAACTGCCGCAACTTCTTCAATATTGCCTACAGTGGATGAAACATCCCCAGACAACCACCACTGCCCTTTCTTATCAGGATCCAAAAGCTTATTCCATGTTAACCCGCGCAAGAGGACATCTTCTGCTTTCAGCTGCAGGCACATATAAGAGAAACTAAATGTTAAATGAACAGCGAAGTTTCACAATTTACAATTCCAGATATTGGGAAATAAGTTCTTGTAAAAACCTTTTGAAGCCACTTTTTTATGCGAGTGTGGTGTGCAGGATCCTCTTTGGGCCTTTTTTTGTTGTTCTTAATGTCACATATTGTCTCGAGCATAAATTCCATCTGCACAGTAAGATATAACAGATACCAAACTCAAAAACTATTGGTTACATGTAATGTTCCTTAAATAGCCATAAAACAGGCAACCTACTCTTTTGCTATGCATCTCTGCTTGTCCATTATCTTGACCAGCTGGGTGCGCTTTCAGTTTCAACTGGTTTACAGAGTTCTGAATACTGAGAACAAAGTCTTTCATTGCACTGGGGTCATCTCCACGTAGCTTCATTCCACAGCCTGTACATCCAGATGAAAACATATCCCCAGCTTAACTGAAGTATAAAACATGCTGCAGTATTCCAATCAGTGGAACAGCTACAATGGTCTGGAATGTGAGTTGTGCATTATTACTATTTATTTAAAGAACTGTTAATATCATACACTGTAGGATGGTCAATACAGTCGAGACATCCAGCTCTGTCAAGCGCTTGCTCAGCACTGATAGCAGATCATATACAAGATCACTGCAATATTAGATAGGATGATTAGGATTTATCTGTTCCAAAGAAAGGAAGTGTAATGTTCCATTCAAATGCCAACCTTGAAATGACATCAAATATGCACAAATAACAGAGCAGTAAAGTAAGATTCCTCAGAGATAGACCATCTTCTTTTGAGTACTCATCCTGTCACAATGGGAAAGAAGACAACATATTAACTTATCTAAAAATAAAAATAAACTGTGATAGTCACTCAGAACATAACCCAAGTATCCAAAACAGATGAAAGAAAACAACAGTTGCAATTCATCTTTGTAATAGTAGAAATAGTCATACCTCAAACAACTTTGCAAGAGAAGCAAGGATCTTGGCACTGAAGTCAATGCCAACCAGGCTTGCCATACCTGCAACAAATGATGCAAATACAGCAGCATACCTGTACAGTTTAACAAAGCAATTTCATTAGTTTGTTATTGATAATAAACACCCACAAGGACACAGATACACCCGTGACTATTGTGAAAGATCCTTAACTGTTCATTTCCACGAGGTCCTCGTGAACAACTTGCCAAAACTTCATCGCCAATTACCTGGCAACCGGTACTTCTTGGAACTGACTGCGAACAGATAAATGGAAACAAAACCATAAAAAGTGACTTGTGATTAATCAAACGAAAAGAAAATATCTGGAGAAATTTGGTAGCATAATATTTGAAGACTGAAAAGAGAAAAAAATAGTACTGGACAATACACTAAATAGCGCAGCAATTTCCTGAGTAATGGACTCCACGTTCGATTCTGAGAGCCTGTTCAATAGCCCTGACACATAGAAAACAATAGGTCATGCATATGCAAAAAAGGGGATAAGAAGCCTGTTATGCAGAAGGAAATAAAGATGGAATTTAGTCACACCTCTCACTCTCCGGCGAATCTGAGCGATCTCTTCTGATTCTGAATTGGAAGTAGCACGCAAACTTGGAGGTACATACTTCGCCTTTGACGCCATAGGTAGTTCAACCACATTAGGCTCTTCATTCTCAGATTGCTGAACTGCTTCATCATTCTCTTCACCCACACCCCCATCATATAGTTCCTCAGTGGGATCATTCTTCACTTTCTTCTTTTTCTTTTTCCCTTTTTTCTTGTCTACTTCATTCTCAGATTGCTGAACTGCTTCATCATTCTCTTCACTCACACCCCCATCATATAGTTCCTCAGTGGCATCATTCTTCACTTTCTTCTTTTTCTTTTTCCCTTTTTTCTTGTCTACTTCAGTATCATCCACCGTATTCCAATCAAACTCTTTTGCCTCATCATCTGAACCGAAGTCGCCCTCAAATCCAAGGTCCGCGAAAAGGCTGTCCATACCATCATCTGGACCTCCCAACTTTCCTTTCTTCACCTTGAGTTTCTTCGCTAGCCTCCTCTCTGTCTCCAGATCCTCCTCTCTGCTCACAGCTCCACCCCTCTCCATCTCAAGATATTCCTGGAATTTGGACTTGGACTTGGGCTTAGCCTCAGTATCCCTCCTTCTCTTCTTCACATTGGTAGGTTCTTTCTTTGGTTTCTTTTCCTCTACTGGACTTGATTCTACAGATGGCTCTACCGGCTTCTTACTTTTGCTTTTGCCACCCTAATGCAAGAAATTTTGTACACCTAAATTAAAATCCCCAAACTAGCAAAGCATGTCAGTTTTCTTTGCATAAAGGATTTGGCATGCTAACCTGATGCTGAACCCAAGAAAGAAAGCGCAGTTTTTGCTTCTCCGATCTCGCTTCTTTCCGCTTCTCCTTGCGCGACCTCTTCTCCTCTTTCCCTGCAAACAAACACCAACAGGAAAGAACAGCATTGCAATGACATCAGAATTCACCAGAGCAGAAACAATGCTCGATGCTTCACACGGCAGAGTCATGTTAGACTGATAAGAAGCTTACCAGCCATGGCTCCTCCACTTCGATGAAATCTTTCTGTCCCGGCTCGTTATAAGTTTGAGCTGGCAAAATTAAAATAAAATCATAAGACTAATATAATCCTCTACCAAATTGACCATCTAGATACAAAGAAAGCAACACAGCGCAAGAAACGCAGAACTACAGGGAGACATCATCCACTCACACACACAGAGAGACAGAAATACAGGGAGCTGACAGGCGCTATTAACTCTCCAGATTCCTCCTCCCGGAGGCGAAGCCGCGCGAGTTTTCGGAGATTCCGCCGCGGTCGGGCTCAGGCTCCGGCGACGGCGACGGCGACGGCGGCGGCGGCGGAACTGCGAGAAAGAAAGCAAGGGTTTTTTTTCCTCCCTTTCTCTTCTCGGTTTGGGAAGGGCTACACATTTACAAAAAGGCCCCTCAAATCCCCTTCTAATTACACCCACACCCCCCAATCCGGTAACCTCGATCCGGCCGTCGATCTCCATCGGACGGTCCAGCGTGGCCGAGGCGGTTCCCTTCTCGCCGTTTCGGCGCCATCTCCGCCGCGGCTTCGCCTTTCCTTTCCCTCCCAAACGAAAACCTAAGCCCCCTTCCTATATCAAAAAAAAAAGAAAAAGAAAAAAAAACCGAAGCCCCTCTCACTCTCCCACTCCCACCCGCCTCCGAATCCCCCGGGAGAGAGAGAGGCTCGCATTTTATCGCGCCGGATCAATCCCCCGCTCCCTCCTCCGCCCAATTCCAATCGCGTTTTGGTGATTTCTTTTTTTTATTTTTTTTCTGAGGTGCGGTGTTGGGGTTGAAGGTTTGAGTTGTGATGGCTGGGGATGCGGGCGATGGAGGAGGGGATGGGGAGACCCAGGCATTGGAGGGAGGGACGACGCCTCCGTTGGGTGAGTTGATGTTTTTGGTTTGTGTTGTGCTGATTGAGTTCTTGGTGGTGTAAAGGTGCTGATTTTCTTTTCTTTTTTGCTGTTGTTGGGTTGGTTGGTGGATGCTTGATGTGATGCGGTTTTTAGGGTCTCCGGTTAGTGATGATGGCGATGCGACGCCGAGCGAGGATGGCGTGCTGTACGGAGAGACGCAGGCGCTGGATGATGCGGAGACGCAGATGGTTGATGATGGATTGGGGGAAGAGGAGGATGGTGTGGCTGTTGATTGGGGAGAGACGCAGTTGGTGGAGGGTAGTGAGGAGGAGGAGGAGGAGGAGGAGTGTGGCGGTGGCATCGACGATCAGGAGGACACTCAGTTGGTTGAGGATAGTGAGGAGAATGAGGGTGATGGGGAGGATGCCGGTGGCGCCTGTGAGGGGGAGGATGCCGGTGCGGCGGCGGAATGTGACAACAATGCCGGTGATTTGGTTAGGACCCAGTTAGTTGAAGAACACAAGGAGGGAGAGGATTGCGGGAATGATGGTGCTGGTGATGGGTTGGAGACCCAATTCGTTGAGGAATGTCCGGAAGAGGAGGAGAAGGTGAATAATAGCAGTGATGATGAGGATGCTGGTGAGTGGGGGAAGACCCAGTTGGTCGAAGACTCAGATGAAGAGAGAGATGATGATGGAGACGATGAGTTGAGCGTGGACACTCAAGTTCTAAGTGACGATGAGGGCCTATCAAATGATGAGAGAGAGGTGATATTTGACATGGGGGGCAGCAATACCAGGGTAAAGGGTGCATTGGAGGATTATACCAAGAATTTGGTAGATTCAGATGCTTCAACAGATGAAGAGGGCGACACAGGTTAGTTAACAATTGCTAATATGCCTTTTTACTAGTCCCATATGACAATGAAATTCCTTTCAACTGTCAAAGTTTGCTGAAAATCATTCTAGAAAGTTATACTGTGAGACCTCACAGTCTCAGACTCAGAATATGACCAGCAGTTTCTATTGGTTTTACATGAAGAGATGCACAAATTTACAACGAGTCTTGCATTTGAGTGCTTAAATGCTTTTATTGTTGCTATTGCTATCTAAACTTAAGTGCTTCATATATCATAATTATTTCATTAGTTGCATAGAAAAAATGCAGCCTTTTAATGCTACCTTGGTTCAATTACATTTTTGTTTTCTCTCTTTGTTTTTTCCCGGTAAATAGTTGATTGATCTTTACTTCATCTTCATTGTGGTGGCCTCGTGTGATTATACCCATACTCTTCTTTCACTCCAAGTTAGGTAATAGGAGAAAATTCTGTCAACTTGTACAGATGTTCCAGAATTTTCACACTTCTATTGGCTTAACCTTGTACTTAGTTCTTACAGAAGGGCTTATTTGTTATTGGTTCTAGCTAATCTTGTGGCAATCAAGTATAAGCAGTTAGTGTCACCAACTCACCATTTCTAAAGCACCAAGTGGTGCTTTTTTGGTTTTAATTGAATGTGGCGCCCTCTGATATTTTTATCAGGAGATTGCTATATTCAAACTCAACAGGTGTGTGCTATTGAAATTCCAGTTTATTTTATCCTTGTGTTTCATTTGACTTGATATGTTGCCTGCTTGTGTGCTCCATTTCAATAAAGTTCTCAGTTATTGAATTTTTCAGCTAGGCACTACGGCACTATATATCTCTATGCTATATTTTGCTGTAAGCATGCTGGATCCATATTGTTCATTACATTTTGAATTTTTTGTTGATACACAATATTTCACTTATAAGGCTCATACGAGTAAGTTACTATATTTTTATCTCATGATCACTGTGCTTTAATCTCATGAAAGATTTATTTATGAACATCTATATGATTCAGTTTTCCATCTTACCATTTTCTCCATTTCTCTTGGGGTTATGCTATGTTTTTTGCACGATCCTTGGTTATCAAATATATATCCCTGAATTAGAAAATGGAGAACAATTCTTCTGCTTATTTTATATAACCTTTGTTTGTCAAGCTAAATTTGGCATGTATTGAAACTATTTGTTTTGTTTATAATGTGCACGTATGTTTTTGTGTCCCAGTATGTGAGGCATCTGAACAGAAGTGTGAAGCGTTAACTGTGAACAGTTTGCAGCAAGGAAAAGAACAGGATTCAATACATGGAGCACATCTTCTGAGGAAAGTTGTGGACAATTCTACCTCGTTTAGCACATCCTTAGGTGACCACCCAGATTGCGGGATTGATAGTGACTCCCATGGTTATGTACAGAACCATGATAAAGATGGAACTAAAAGCAGAAGCAGGTGCTCAACAGCAAAAAAGCTTTTTGCTGATACAATAGTTAAAGAGAGTGAAAACAATGGCAGATGCTTTGCTGGATTGAGCTATATTGAATCACAAGAGCCTGGTGATCTGTCTCAGGCGAATGCTTTGGAACTTGTGGACAGGTTGATATCAATCAGTGGCATGTCATCTCAAGAACCAACTCCCCAGAAATTGGATTCAGCAAAGCCACATGTGTCGAATAAGAGAGGGACTTTAATGTTGGCTGAGAAGGTTGACTGTAATAGAAGTTCTAATGGAATGGCAGAAATCTTTGCATGGGTAGATAGCCGCGAGGATGATGGCGGAGGTGAGTTTTTCAGTAAAAATAAGGACATTTTGCTGCATAAATCAGCTGATAGAGGGAAATCAAAAAGTCATTTTCCCAGAGCAAAGAAGCGCCCCACAAAAATTGAACCTGGCGAAATCGGGGACTGCAAAAAGTGTAAAAATACCAAACTATCTGGGAAGTTTGAAGCTTTACCTTTGTCAGACTTGATGCTCAGCAGCGATGTTAAGGGTAAGCGGGCTTCTGCAAATAGGACTAAGAAAAACCTTTTGAAAGACTTGGACTTAGATGATCTATCAAATGGCAAGTATTTGGAAGTACAGCAGGAAAAAGAAAGTGTAGCTTTGCATGATGTTGGTCCAGATACTCAAATTGCTCTGGAAGCTATGGAGGCTCTGGCACAATGTTCACCTGCTAAAAATTTATCAGCTAAAGATAAACCTCAGTTGAGAAATGGAAAGTCTAAAAAGGCAAAAGGTCATTCAAAGAACAGCCCTCAGAAGAGAACTGGCAGCATCCAGGAAGGCGTCACGACACGTTCGAAAAGAAGAAAACTAACTGAGCTGACCCCTGAACCTGAGAAACAAATGTACAAAGGGTCAATACTGCAAGGAAATCCAGGAGATCTTAAAGCAAAGACAAGAGATAAGGAGGCAAAGTCAGTACCAGCTAAGAGTAATGTTTTGAAGATATCTCGTGATGGAGATAAGTGTCATGGTGCACCTGTTGCTCGCCGGACAAGGCACTTTTGTAGAAACAACCCTGGCGAACATACCGAGCTATGTTCTAATAAGCACTCAAAGAGAGTCATGAATTTGAGAGGTGGCGTCTCCAAAGTTGGAAAAGTTCAAAATGATCATATTGCAAATGAACCCGGGCAGCCAATGATCAGTGAAAGAACTGCAAAATCCACTTCTATCTATGTTGAAAAAGAAAGCACGGAGCATACCTGTGCAACTGATGCTCAGAATCTGCAGCTGCGTAGGGATGCAAGCTCACAGCACGCTAGTGAGAATACTGCACAGGGTTATGAGCCATGTAGAAGCAAACCAACAATTGAAGACGCATGCAGAGAGAACTCTTCTCACTTTCCCAAACAGAGAAGAACACAAACAACAATTGTACAGCCAAAAGATCCTGCAGCTACCCAAAGTGGCACCAATCATGAAACACCTCAAGATGAGCCAAGACCATCTAAGAAAAGGCGGGTCTTCATTAGGAGTGTCTCTGACTATGTTAAGTATGCAAAGAGAGAACCTTCCAATGGAAGATCAACCTCTCTGCTGTCTACTATTATCAAAAAGTCGTCGGCTGCTTCTCACATACTTAATTCTTCTCTAAGTGCTGATAGCAAAACTTCTGGTTTTAGTAGCTCTGGAAATAAACATAAGGGATCCCATGTAGAGGATGCAAGCAAATCACCAAGAAGCAACTCTGACATTCACAGCAGTGTGCTGAAAACGCCTTCAAAATCAGCCAATGAATTGTCACCTATTTTCAGTCCTCTAAATCCATCAAAATCTTCAAGTAGAAGCTTGTCAAAACCCTCTGTTGGCAGAGAACTGCTGACGTTGGATCCTGATAGCAATCCATCAAATTGTCAGCATAAAGATTCTAGAAGAAAGAAAAAAAATACCAATTTTAGTATTTTATTCAGCCACCATTTGCATGGAGATGTGATAAAGCGTCAAAAGAAGGTATGGTATTTCTTTACTGTTGGTACATTTAAAATATTAAAACTTTATTCATTAGTTATTTGAAATTAGGTATACTCATGGTAATTTTCTATGCTGTAGATCTTGGCGCGCTTGGGAGTGTCCGAAGCACTTTCCATTCTGGATGCAACACACTTTGTGGCAGATAGTTTTTTCCGCACAAAGAAAATGCTGGAAGCAATAGCTCTTGGCAAACTAGTAGTTACGTCGATGTGGCTTGAAAATTGTGGTCAAGCAGGCTGTTTCATTGATGAAAAGAAGTATATTCTGAGGGATGCCAAAAAGGAAAGGGAGATAGGTTTCAGCATGCCTACATCACTTGCCGCAGCTTGCAAGCATCCTCTGCTGCTGGTAAAATGAATTCTTGAATTTTGTTTTGCCTAACACCGATCCTAGACAGTTTAATTTATTTAAAGAAAAACTCATTACAGGGAAAACGAGTGTATGTAACATTGAACGTGAAGCCAAGTCGAGAGGTGGTGATTGGCTTGGTGTTAGCATCTTCTGGGCAGGTTATTGCTATGTTTAGTAACATTTTAGACATCTTCTGGTGTGCACTTCTTTTTATCTATTTTATCTTTAGACATCTTCAGTTACCTTTTTCTTTTCCATCGTTTTTGTTTTTTCCTTTGCATTTAACTGTTAAAAGTATCATTCTCTATGGTACAGAACACAGTATGGGCATAGTTACCTGAATCAAGTGAACATGTTAGTACCCTTTCAAATAATTTGTGAAGAAATGTAATCATCTATAGCTTCTGAACTGGATGTGTTTTTGAGCGACTTGCATGTTTCATCCCATGAATTACTAGCCCCCAATTGCAAGTTAACAAGTTAGTTAATATTTCACACACGTTCTTCTTTTACAATATAAGCATTTGTATGAATGTTCTCTTTATTTTGTGCAGCCATTAGAAAGGATCGGAAGGTCCATAACGAAGGAAGTACCAGATGACCTACTGGTTATCTCATGTGAGGATGACTACGAAACTTGTTCTCCGCTTTTAAAGAGAGGTCAGGATGAGATATAATCTCGCATCCCAGTGTGCATATTGTTTTCACCAAAGAATTCTGGGCAGCCAGCTAATGATCATGAATCAACAGGTGCCAGTGTTTTTGAATCAGAGCTTCTACTAAACGGCATAGTTATTCAGAAGCTGGAGTATGAGAGGTTTGTATGGAAGTACATGGATATACTTGTGTTTCAAACAATTCAAACATGAGTTCTTCATATAGACCAAAGCATTTTTCTTTTGGTGTGTATGCAGGCATCGTCTTTTCTCGGATTGTGTCAAACAAACCCGCTCGACCAGGTGGTTGAAAGACACATCCCATGGCAGGTTTGTACCTGTCTCCAAGTGTACGTAGCTAAGGGTGGTGCAGCATAATACAGATACCGTAGATAGTGTTACCTGGACACGGACAAGAATTGGACACTCGAAATCCTTCTTGGAATACAACTTGGACTAAAGGTGCCCCAGTTTGGCAAAAAAAGAAAAGACACGGGTGTCAGTTCTTTCTGTCCCCAGCTTCTCCAACCCATTGTAAATTTGCAGCCACGGATGATATCTGCCTTGCGCCTATCGCTTACTGCTGACCATGTGGTCATTTTCATTTTGGTTTTGAGTCTTCTTTTTTCTTTCCTTTGGTTCAACTCAAGCGCACATGTAAATTTGGAACTTGTGTGTGTTTAATAATATGTGCTAAGTTCCCCTTGTAATCCTCTGTTTTACACCAATGATTCGCCGCTTGTATCTCTGGTTGAACTGTTCTTGAAAAATAGGAGCAAGTTGTCTGTGAGCTTAATGTAGTAGTAGCAAATGTCTATGCAACTAACCTGCTTGTCGTAAGCTTAATGTTTGCTGGTAAAAGGAAAAAGAGAATTTATCGTCTTGTTTTAATCATGATGTTATCCTTGCCAGTGAGGTGTGAGAATGCTTAAGAATTCACTACAGATTATAGAATGCAATGCTATAGAAGTCTGAAGGAAACAAAAGAAATGTGAGAGATATATTTATGGCGGAATTGTTCTCCCAATAATTTGAGCCAAGATACGCCGACCAAATCACCCAAATTTCTTATATGCCACCGGAAACTTATTAAAAATCTCATTGACATGTAGGCCCACACACCCATGGCAAAAAAAAATTTGGGAAAATTGGATAAGTTTTAGGAAAAAGAAAAGAAAAGGAAAAAAAAATTGAAAACTCTGGGCGCAAGCCGCGGGGACTCCGCGGCTAGGGTTAGGGAGGAGGGGGAGGTCCTCCGCCACCCGCCGCCGCCGCCGCCGCCGGCCGCCGCTGCCGGCCGCCGCCACCGCCCCTCCGCAACTCATCGGACGGCTGAACGCTCGATCATCTCCGCCGATCTCCGCCGATCTCCGCCGCCTTCTCCCGTGCACAGAGGGTAGGGTCGGGGGGAAGAAGGGGGAGGTCCTCCGCCACCCGGTCGCCGCCGCCGCCACCGCCCTCCGCAACTCATCGGACGGGTGAACGCTCGATCATCGCCGCCGATCTCCGCCGCCTTCTCGCGTGCACAGAGGGTTCTGCGGCTAGGGTCGGGGGGAAGAAGGGGGAGGTCCTCCGCCGCCCACCTCTCCAACGCCTGAAGGGGGAGTGTGCTCCGCCACCGCAGCCCCCGGAAATCCGCAGCTCCGGCCACGCCACCGCATCGCCCCCCCGCCTCCGCCCCTAATCCCACGGCCAGCATCCTCACTGCTCGTCCTCCACCACGGCCATCGCGCGTGGCGTCTGCAGTTCGGCTGTCTTGTTTTCTCTGTCGCCGCCCCAGGCCCCCAGTTTGCTTGTTGCTGTCGAGACATCACCAGTTCGACTGTTGCTTCGCCTGAAGGCTCCATGGCTGACCATCCTCCCACAGTGTTCTTAAATGAGCTGGAGAAATGGGTGTCCGTCAAAAGTAGAGAATCAATCTTGTCTGTCAGGTTTAAACCCCATGCTGCAGAAGTCAAGCGTACTCTGGATGCCCTGGAGGTTGTACCTGCTCTGAAGAGAATTGAACGGAGCAAGGTGGTAGGGTATGCGACTTGCTCTGTCGTAGCTGAGAATGGGAATTCACTTTACCTCTTAACATGTGCGCACACGATTGATCATGTTTACACAGCAACCAAAGAGATCTCCGTTCAGGACATCAACCGCTTGTTCGATACTGAAGTGGTCTGCGATCACCAACAAAACAACGGTTTGGGCGGAGAAAGAAAATTTACTGAAGCCATTGTCACCCGTGTGGATTGCAAGAAGGATATCTTGTTGGTTCTCGTGGACAAATCAAAACTCCTAAATCTGAAAGGGAAGCAATGCAGATTCCAACATCCTCCATTGGTTGCAAGCCAGAACTTGCCGTGCTCGCTAGAGTAAGTGGTGATGATCTCGTGGCCGCCTTGTATGAACAGGGCAACATCTGTAGGGCGCATATCACATCCTTCCAGACACTATGACGATGTCAGTAACACCAATGAGTATGGCTATAATATGAATTTAATTGAGGTGGATATGATGGTAGCAGAGGGTAGCTCAGGAGCACCGTTGCTTAATTGCAGAGCCAATTTTGTTGGTCTACTTCAAGGAGGTGGTAAGGAATGTTTTTCATGCTTTGTTTCACTTTCTGATATATGTAAGAAGCTAACTGAGTGGGGAATTTTTCCTCGAGAGAAGGTGATTCAACAAAAGAAATCACAGAAGTGACAACTGATTCATCATTGAAGCACTTGGATAGTAGAGCAAACGTCCAATTGAATTTTGTTTCAGATGTTTTTACTCGTTGACACTGTAGCACAGATTCTGTTTAAAGTTTTGCATGGTTTGGTGACCCTCCACCATGTTGTGATATTGATTGTTCTGCAGTTTTGCTATTTGTCTAGCGCCTGATTTTCTCTTACTTTGATGTTGATATTTCCCGTATTTTTGCTATTTATCAAGTGTCTGATTCTCTGATTTGTCGGTCGATTTTGTAGCTGCCAGATGGCACAGGGATTTGTGTTCCTCTGTTACCAGTCTCGGTTTGTAAATGGGCAGTTTTGTACTGCTTCTTGTGTTAACCCACTAATCCACTCCCTGCAGCTCTTGAGCTCTTGCAAGCGATTTAGTGGTGATTCATTTGAGGGGGCTTCACCTCCTGGCCTCTAGTGACTGTCGTTTGGTGGGGGCGGGGGTGGGGGTGGGGTGCGTTTGGTGATTCACTCAGTGGCTGTGGCCGAATTGGAGGTGCTATTGTTGTGGTTTGAGCTCAAGATTGGGAAGGTCTTGCAGTGTTGTAGCCTGTATTTTTTGTGCAAATGTCGATGAATCACCCTCGTTTTAGTTTTTATGCAATATAGCCTTTGATTTAGCTCTCATGTTGTGCCTTTGACCTTGCTTGTGTCTCTGGATTTGCATGTTGTGATGTTGATTAAATTGCCAAGGTTTTGCTTGTTTGATGTGTGTATTGGCCTTTAGCTTTTGCATGATATTCTGGCAATCCCTTAGTATTCACTATGAATGTCAGTAAGGTGTTTAATCTGGCCTACAAATTAAACACTGGATTATCTCTTATGTTTGATCCATGAGTATGTTTGGAAACAAATGCAGTTTTTCTACAGTACTTGAGGGTGGGTGTACTGTTTTGAGCTTTTGTTCATGTGCAGTACCCTGGATTACCTACTTCGGTAGCTGCAGTTTTTGTTTTTTGTTCTTTGAATTCCTTCTGTTTTTGTCTTAATTGATTTAGGCAATGCTCCTGCCATCTTTTTTTAAAGAAAGATATATAGGGTTCTATATATTATCCCTAATTCAGAAAAAAAAACGTTCGTATTAACCATTGTTAAAAGTACCAGAAGTAATGTCCTTTTTGTTGGAATGCCTCTGTTTTGTCAGCTTACAAATTATCTGAATAAAGAAGAGAGCTCAAAATGATTTTGAGAATATATGAAGATAGGTTGATCAGTTGGTTTTATTTGTGTTACTGTGGTGTACAACTAGAGTTTAGCTAATCATTTGTTTGAATCTATAGTCTGTTTTATCGAATGTAGGTTGTTCCCCGAGTGTAAGGACACTGAAGCTGATGCTGCTACAATCTAGGAGTAGGTGTTATGTTACTCCTTTTTCTTTTGCCAGTATAGCCACTGCAACTTAAGCTGTCACATAGGCACCGTTGGATTCGAAAGTAATGGCCAAGATTTTTCTAGGCACTATTTGGCAACCACTATAGCTGGATATTTCCTGTAGCGAACACTATATCATCTACTATTTTGAACCGATGTGCCACAGATTTTGTCCGTTGATCGTTTCGATCCAACGGTGAAAAATATTCGGACTGCTTAAGTTGCAGTCTCTACTACACTAGTCCATGAAACTAAAACAAATTGCCTTATTCCATTTATAGCATACTCCGCCTGCGTTTTGTTGGGTTAATCTCGAGACCATGAAACTAAAACAAATTGCCTTTTTATAGCGAGAGAGCCCGAAAATCAATGCATGTGTTTGGTCATAGCAACAATGTGAATGGGACGCGTTAGAGACGCTGGGTGGCTAGTTTTCATGCCCCCATTTAGATTTTCTTTTAGGATTAAAAACAATTAAATAATGTATTTTTAGAATTTATATTTAAAGTTAAAACAAATTATCAAGTGAAATTAATGAAGGAATTAAAATTTCCTTTGAAATTCATTGCTGAAAATATTTTTTAATATTCTTCATATCCTAAAGTACTCTCACAAATTTCCCGTAAAAGAAGTAATTTTAATAATATAAAGTTCATTTCAGCAATTAATTAAATAGAAAAAAAAATCCCCTTATTTCATTTGGGCCGTTTTTATCCCAAGTATGCTTTCCCTCCCTCAAGGTCCCCACGGCCTTACATCCTTTCCCGTATCTCTTGGGCCGGCCCCTTGCCTCCCCTCCATTCCGGCCCGGTCTCTCGCAAAGTGCACTGTACATCCCCATCCGGTCTACTCTCTCCCCTCGCCAACAGGTTGGACCGGTGGCCCCACCTAATAGCTCCATCCCCTACCTCCGATGGGGTATTTCAAGTTTGAAGATAAATATAGTAATATTTAAAATACTAAATTAATTTTATCAAATAAATAGTTGAATATATTTCATAAAAAAATTTCTCGAGTTGAAAATGTTACTATTTTTTACTAACTTGGTCAAACTTAAAGCAGTTTGATTTTGACCAAAGTCAAAACGTCTTATAACTTGAAACGGAAACGGAGGGAGTATTTACCGCTTTTAAGAAGTGGCAATTAAGGATTTATCAGTTACAATCTATAACATGTAGATCTACACGTTTTGTTCTAACAGACATTTTTATGATTGAGATATCATAGTAATAGTGCAAAGTACTCCCTCTGTCCCAAAATAAGTGTAATTTTAACAGTGTTCATGCTCAACGTTTAATCGTTCGTCTTATTTAAAAACAATTATGATTAGTATTTTTATTGTTATTGGATGATAATATATTAATAGTACTTTATGTGTGACTAATATTTTTAAGTTTTTCATAAAATTTTCAAATAAGACTGACAGTCAAAACGCCGGACACGAATATCTATGGTTGTACTTATTTTGGGATGGAGGTAGTAAGCAGCCAGTGAAAAACTGAAGAGCACATTAGTTGTATTTCACGAAAAGAAGAGTTGACTGCAGCCGAAGTGCTCTGGCCACCATGCCTGACAACTTTACATGCCAAACAACTTCAGATTACACTCAGGCTTGTCTCAGGCTTGGCAAGTTGCTCTCAGGATAGCAATCAAACAGACTCGGAATTTAGTTCTGGTTTTTGCAGTGTGTGCGACAAAGGGAACCACAATCTCAAGCACCGTATCAAGTGGTGAAGCGCGAATGATTTAGCCTCATCGGTTGCCCAAAACAGCTTATTATGGAATAAAGATTAATTTATAAGAAAATTTTTTGTGATTTAAAAATCAATATTAAAATATATACGTTGAAAATATATTTAAATCAACTTAATTAGATTTGAAAAATTCAAATTTTGATTTTGCTTTTGGCATTAGGTCAACTGACAGCTGTATCTAGATCAAGATCATGCAGAAGCTTCTCGGAGTGCATGACTCAATGAAATTTTTTAGATAATGGTTGACTAACATAGGCTGTATTTAGTTCGCGTGCCAATTTTTTTTATATACAGACACACATTTAAAGTATTAAACGTTAACTAATAACAAAACAAATTATATATTCCGCTTGTAAACTGTGAGACGAATCTATTAAGCCTAATTAATCCGTCATTAGCAAATGTTTACTATAGCACTGCATTATCAAATCATGGCATAATTAGGCTCAAAATATTTGTCTCGTGATTTACATGCAAACTGTGCAATTGGTTTTTTTCGTCCACATTTAATACTCCATGCATGTGTCTAAACATTTGATGTGACGAAAAAGTTGTAAGTTTGAAGAAAATATTTTGAAACTAAACACGACCTTAGCCTGAAAGCCAACAATTTTATAAGGAGTAAGTCTATTTTGCTTTCCTTATCTCTTGTTCCGGATGAATCGTCTGTCTCAACCACAAAATCAGGTATAACATATCCTCCATATTTGAAAATCGATGTAATTGACTCCTTGGTGATTTCAAAAGCGGTTTCGTCCAATGTGACGCTGATGGGACCCACATGTCAGCGGAAAAAAAAATAAAAAATTAACAACCTCACGTATCAATCATCCTAATCTCTTTCTTTCTCTTCACCTTTATATCTCCCCTCTCTCTTTCCGGTTCTCTCTCTCCAGGTGGCAGCAACGATGGTGAAGGTGGCAGAGCGCGGGGGCAAAAATGGCACCGACGGAAGGGAGAAGAACATTGAGGAGAAGGGGAAGGAGGGGTGGGAGAGGAGTGGGAGGAAGGATTGGAACCACACGTGAAGTCGACGAGGTCCTCCCTGCGTGCGCAGCCAAGCGACTGTAAAGGTGGGTTTAACGTGGATTGCCTCTCTCGGTTCCACGGTCCATGTTATATAGCCAGAAACAGCCCCTGGCGTGGTGTGTACATAGGAGTTTACAGATTACATCTTCACCGAGAAGAAAGGAAACAGAAAAACAAGAAACAAACTAAACTCTATCTTATCTTATCATCAGATATGTTCCAATCCGAACTATCTATCTGTTTAACACCCCCCGGCAATCCCAACACGGGAACCAGGTTGAGATTGCGCCGAAACTCATTGAGTTGACGCACTGGTAAGGCTTTGGTAAACCCATCAGCCAACTGATCATTTGTATTAATAAACCGAATATCCAGCAATTTTCGAGATACCTGTTCTCGAACAAAGTGAAAATCAATTTCAATATGTTTGGTTATGGCATGAAAAACAGGATTAGCAGACAAATACTTGGCTCCAAGATTATCACACCATAAACATGCCGCAATTGGATGCTTGACCCCCAATTCATCAAGCAATTTCTGTACCCACGTTATTTCTGCAGTAGCATTTGCAAGGGCCTTATACTCTGCCTCTGTACTGACCTAGAAACTGAAGGCTGTTTTCTAGCACTCTAAGATATCAAATTACTCCCAAGAAACACAGCAAATCCTCCTGTAGATTTTCTATCATCTAGGCATCTAGCCCAATCTGCATCAGAAAATCCACTCACAAGCATAGAGGATGCTTGATTAAATTTTAATCCAAGATTAACTGTTCCTTGAACATACCGAAGTATTCTTTTCACTGCTGCCCAATGAACTGTAGTTGGAGTATGTAAGAATTGACATACTTTATTAACAGAGAAAGAAATATCTGGTCGAGTTAAAGTAAGATACTGAAGGGCACCCACAATACTTCTATACCTTGTTGCATCTTCAGGACCCAATTTCTCTCCCTCATAAACAGATATCTTTTCAAAGGATGACAGAGGTGTATTAAC